AACCATGCCGTCCTTGATTTACTCGGACCAGTCACGAAGTCTTTAGACTGCCTGCAGCTGGTGATATTTCTCTAGTGTTCTCGCACCGCTGCCTCCTCGCTATGCCTATTACAGGTTCCGGTCCGCAATATGGCGTCGAGGAACCTGTTCTTGCTATGTACGTCGTCTGCTAATTCGTTACCGGGTAATGATCAGGCACCCACACCAGATCAACATCCTTTGATTCGGCTAGTTTTTCAAGTGCATCTCCATACTCCTGTACCAGTGCCGAACTTGCCTTCAGTAATACCTGGATGTCCGAGCAGATGAAGATTTTCCGCAGCAGGTCCCTCTTCCACCTCCTGCCTCGTCGCTACGGCCATGATGGCGTAATTTCTGCTTGAAAAACTGTGGTATATTTTTCAAGAGCGTAACTTTCTAGGTAGATTTCTGCGCCAGAGGCTTGTCGTTCAGGCGGGAACCGTCTGTGTAGCATAAGCTCCGTGGCCAAAACTTCACAGCATTCTCTTTCCACTGTTCTCTGCGCGGAATTGTGAGGGAAAACCTCTCATTCCATCGCAGCCTGTCTTGTGTGTGTCTTACTCAGATAGGGAGAGATAGGGACCTCCTGTTCCACCCTCGTAACAATATTGCTGCATGTCCTATCAGTGCCCCTACGTTCACCCAGCATCCTGAGTCCCACATCCTCAGGTGGGCTGCCATTGCTTCCGTCTTAATCCAGAAATCCAGATCGGTAGATGCAGAAACCCTAATAGTACCTCTACTGCCGCGCTTGGCTAAACAGGCCATCTTCTGAACCTTGACTAGTTTTTGAGCTAGCTTCCTAGTCACCGCTCCTAGCCACCACACAGCTGATTCGTAACGATTTTCAGCCAGCGCATGATCTCAGGGTTGATTCCCCAAGTTTTTCATACTACTCTCTTCGAATTCCAGAGAGTTGCCACCGACTTTTTTACAACTCTATCTACATGGGGCCTCCATGAAACTTTGGAATCCAGGACTACCCTCCGATATTTGACCTGCTGGACTAATTCCAACTCTTGGCCAAACTTGATGAGTGGTCCACTAACGAGGACCAGTCCGTCGTCCGCATATGCTTGACCCTCGAAACCCTCGTCTGTGAGTTTGCGCTTCAGTTCATCCATGACTAGGCACCACAGGTGGGAAATATGCAGCTGCTCTGGGGGCAGCCCCCATCCACCCTGGCGCCCAGCCTATGTAAGAAAACTGCTGGAAAACTTCCTGGAGAATAATTTTAGAGCAGAATCCAAGGTGATATTAATCAAATATGAAGAAAACGGTGTGTTTCAGGCCGAGAAAACTGAAAGTATTGTAATTCACAGTAGTACAGCAGATTAGCCAAAATATTGTGCACTTTTTGATAAATGCACCAAATTTGGCAAAGAGGTAGACCGATATAATGAACAGATTTGGATGTGGAGCCATCAGCCAACTGTACCCTGACGGCTTGAATGTTCATCGAATGTTTCTAATCAAATTATGTATTTTAATAAGTTATATACCGGGTGTCTACGTTGTGTGGAAAATTTCTATAGCTCCATTCCAAAAGAAGATATTTTGGGAATATGGAACAATATCGGAAGGTCTTTGAAGCAAAATGATCCTGATCTCCACAGGAAGATTTCTCAACGCGGGGCTACAAGATTGATGATTTTTTTATTGATTCAAAGATTAATGGAAAATATGTATTAAATTCAATTGGAATATCATTGTTAAAATTAAAACAAAATATCTAAAATTTGTTGTACAGTTCTAGTATACTACTACCCTAGTAATAAAAAGTAGATGGTTCGATACATCTAACTATTCAGATGGCAATATTTATTGCATTCCACAACCTGTGTAAAGTCCACTTTCAGCTATCAAAGCGTTTCTGATAAATTGATTTACTGATTCTGCGGAGTCTCAACATTCACCGTTTTCTGCCTTTCATTATTTACTCAACTCCTGGTTATTCTCCTCATAACGTCACGTTTGGCAAGGTTTACATAATTATTGTACATAGATTATCCACTTGAATGAAGTTCGGTAGCCATAATTTGATTCCCAGTACCTATTTGAGTCTGTTTAATTCCTTATCTGCGCCTATCCCTTTCGAATAAGCGATCATCATAATCTGTTTTCAGTCTCTCAATATCAGAGAACTCAACAGTAAGGTGTACATATCTTGTAAATGCTGTACATACTTTTTTCAAGACTGAATTTTCTTACAATATTAAATGAACTTAATAATAATGCTGATGTTAACGTCAGCACATACTGTATTCAATTTCTGCGGATGCTGACTTGAAGGTAAAGATCATGTTCTGAAGAATTGTTATCGCTGGAAACTTGATACTACTGAGAACGATGGGAACTCCTTTCAGCATATAATATACATATAGCGGAACAAATGAAGCCCACATATAATAAAAGTTATTGAATCAATTAGTTTTCTCCTAGTGTGTATAGTTTGGCAACAGTGATTTTTTCATAGCTCGCTCCAATAAAATGTTTCGGCAAGCGTCATGTAGACACATGGAAACAAGGTTTAATTAGTTTGATAGCGGCAATCAGAGTAATATATCTACGTACTAAAAATCTTAAATCAATATTATTGTTTCAAGTTCTCTGAGACAATGAATTGTTGTTTTTTGTGAAAACATTATATTTACTTTGTGTCCGTAAAGTATGGAATGAATTCTCAAAAAAATTCGTAAACTCGTCGATTTTTCATTTTAATATTCTATATTTCACATCGAAATTTCATTACACACAGTGCTACATACATCAAATTGATGACATCATCGACAATATTTCATTTTTTATTCAAAGATCAATAAAAATTAGCTGAATCCAAAATGGTATTATACTTGGGGCCTAGCAGACAGGATTTGAGAGATATGCACATGGAAAATGAAATATTTCTATCAATTGCAAAAAGTAGCCTACTATTTTTTAGTGAAATCTTATTATTTTTATTGACGTTGAGTAACTAGCAGTTGAGTAGTATAATACTGTTGAAATAGTGCGTGAATGATTTGTATTACTTATTGCTTAGAATTAATTTGGAGCCGAAATGAACTCAAGTGTAAAGCAAAGAATTGAAATACTTATTGAGGTAGAATCTGAGAATGTCACAAGATATAGGGTGTTATATTTGAATAAATTACCGATGTCATCACCTTGTGTGATGAAATTTTGTTGTAAAATGTGGAAGATAGAAATAAAGAATCGACGAGTCCCAGATTTTTCTGAAACGGCTTCTCATTTAGAATATATAGATTATATTCCATATTTTACGGATACTCTGTATATGAAACAAAACGCTTGTTTAAGAAAATCGGATTTGGGATTGGTATGATCAACAAAACGAAGAGGCAAATTACAGCGCGAGAAATGGCCTACCTTAATTCTCGTTCTTTCCCAAGTTGTGTAGGTTTTCTCAACTGTTCGGGGTTGCAACTACCAATCTCCTGCTTCCTGGGAAGTGGACCGTATTTCTGAGCTGATCTCACACACTGAATATCAATGGAGAGGGGTTTTGAATTTTATTGAAGAGGTATATTGCCCGATTAATAATTGTCACGCGACACACCGTTACCTTGTTCGAGAGTGGAGAGGTACTAGGGATTAATATTCTCAATAAATAATCGCCAAGATATCAATATAATAAATTTTGTAATGATATGATCCTTAATGGAAAGAAAAGGTAATTTCAACTGAATGATAATTTGACTAAACTAAAGAGGTGGACCGTGAACAACGCTGGTGGGAACTAGAATGAAAATTAATAGTGATCTTCTTCCAATCGTAACCAACTGAAATATTTCACTAGAATTGAACAGAATCAAATATTATGCGTTCTTTACAAACTTCAGAAACTGATTCAGTTCAAGTGAAATATGTCGGTTAGTTCAGAATAATAGAATATCACTAATAAAATGTTATTGATAGCTGAGGAATCTGGGGGATCTAAAATCATTCAGAAATAATCAAAACACTATTTAGCAAACATGAAAAGGCAGATACCATTTTGCATGGAATATATATTGAACGAAGATATGGAACTAAATTCATCAAAAAAATTTGTCAAATCAGTTGATACAGATTTACTTTTATTTAACAAATTAACTGTTTTTCTCTCTGACGGTGAGTTGGAAGGTACCAACTTATACATTCATTGTTGACAAATGGTGATGTTGGCAAACGAATGAGTAACATGATGTTTTTATTTATTAATCTTGAATTTGCCATTTTCATGTTATAGAAACGAGGACAGAATTCCAAAAAATCTGGAATAATGAATATACCACCTCCTCGATCAACCTACAGACAGTATTCAACTATTTAAGGCACCATGCCATCAGTAGTCCCAGTATTTAGTATTTCACCAAACGGATCTGTAGCCGGCAGGCATTGAACTGGGGCTTGAGAAAGCTGGGCGCACGCGGATGCAATTTTAGCCCGTTTTGAAAAAATCGCCGACTACCTAGATACATAAATATTTATATGAAAACTTATGATTACAAAAACTTCCTCGATACTTTAGGTCCTATGATAACAAAAACTTCCTCCATACTTTAGGTCCATTCTGTTGGAATAATATATGAAAACATTTTGGAAAATACACATTGTTATCGATTGCTGAAAATTACATTCACGAGAATATGAAAATGAATTAATTCAAAAATCTCCATGAATATATTTCATAATCACAAGCTACATGGTTGAAAGCGCTATTCTGTCTTTTTTGATTCGAAAAAAAAAAATAGCCTGAAAACAATTATTTCGAGTGGTATCAAGGTGGAGACGTAAAAATAACATGTTTTAAAAAGTGATTTCGTGTACACGACCATATCTACTTGAAGAAATGCACCAAGTCTGGTATGGTTCTACGCCAGTTCTATTTTTCTCAGGAACTAGGCAATTTAGCTCTCGAAATTTACTCGTCTACTTTGCTCTCGTATTTATATATAAAATTATTGATGTTAACTTACCTCCCACATAAAATTGCCATCACTGATGTTGAGTAATATGATATAAGCTCGAAACTCTGCTTCATTGGGACAATTTTCTCCTTTCAAGAGCAGATCATGATACATGTATTTCAATGTTTGCAGACATTTTGTCAGATTTTCAGTGTTGATTTTTTGGTCAAAAACGGAAGGATCCTCTGCTACTAATCTCGCTGAACAATGAATATGGAATCTTGCACACTGTTCAACCAATTCTACAGATCCTTGACAGCACAATTCCTGTTGAGTTATGTCTTTTCTTATTCCTCTAGTTCGATCCCACAGGAAATGGAACCATTCAGCTAAATTTACCTTGTTATACATGATTAAATTAATATTTTTTATACATGCCCAGTTAACACAAACATCTATGAGATGTCGCATTCATGGCAGTTGATGTCATAAAAGCGAATCACAATATTACATCGCTGATATCTACACGGAATTCCTCGTGTGACAGATAGTTCGCAAATTCCATCACATTCTGTAGGATCTGAGACCATTATGGATATAATATCGAAGAAGCTCCTTGACATAACAGAGACTATAATTTTGGAATCTAAAATTTCAGTAGTTGAGAGTCGTAATTCGATGTATCTTAATTGACAAACTGCTTCACATTGTGCAGAATGATAAAACAAAAATATGCGTCAATTTGTGAATCTCTCTCACATCTCAAGGAAATTCATTTAATATCGAACAATACTTGGAATTATCGGTCTACTCTCATACTCATGAATGTAGCGCACAATGTGACTTATGATAAGATTCGTACACACTCGGTCGGTGTCGGTCTGACTAATGTACACGTGTCCGTAAATTCTTCAGCAGTGGCATGCTTTCGTATCGTCCATTTCGATGTTCCAGTTCATTCGGTGTTAGTATGCAGTTCGGGTTTGACGTTATTGCTCACATACTGAAGCATGTTTTTCTAATAGTAAATTATGATTGACTAAAGATGCTATGTGCTTCTCATCTAAGTTACAGGGTAAGTACGATTACCTACAACGTTCATAACTTGATACAATACTGGTTGACAATGAGGAAAGGGTAGACGACACGTCGCAATTTCAAGACGATGATGATACTTACAATGTTAGCTTTGAAGATATCATTTTGAGATCAGGGTGTGAGTGAACGTGCACATTCTGATTGTACCTACATATATATAAGAATTGGTGCTACTCACGGTTGAACTATAAGTGGTGGGACCTAAGGTGGGCCCAAAGTCTGATTAAGAACAAAATTTTAGCAACATGAATGGAACGAAAAAATGCGCCGCAGCTATTCTCTATCTCCGTTGTCACCCGGTATGAAATAGTAGGTATGTAGATATGAAGTGACTCAAACACTTTTCAATATTCTCATTATGGTTATTCTCTACTCACTCTATAAGATAGTATTTCTTATCTATACTTACCCTATTATAGTTGTATAGATGATCAACAGGAAATGGGCAAAGAGAAATCAATTGATTGTTCTTATATTGATTTCCAGATGCCAAATCACAAAAGACATCTGGACCATTACCTTGGAATAATTTTAAATATTGAGCAGGGATTGGTTTCCATATGCTACAACGGAAGGAGCGATGAGGAGCAGATATTGGATGTTCTTGGCTACATGATGTGTTCGCATAGTTGGATTGACCCATTGATCTCATTCAAGTTAATTTCTTCACTATTATACAGGGTATATCTTCAACAGTTAACGCGATCTATATATGGAGAACTAAAAGTAGCACGATTCTTAAAATTTGTAGGGACGATGAAGGAATTATGGGAAATCCTTCTAAAATATTTTCGTTATTGTGAAGCTTCTGATTTTTCCGAAAGTGACTTCATCTTTGTTATTTCCAATGGAACACCCTGTATTATTCAACATTTTTGAATTCCTCTCATAATTTTGATTCAAATTAATGCATCATACCTCATACCCAAAATGGAGCGTTCTTGAGTTATTCGAGTTTTTCTTGAAAAAGTTCGACAAAATTTGTCATTCAATGCAGCCTTTTGAACATAGAAAATTTTTATGGGAATTTAAATTTTAAGTGATATGCATATTGATTAAATCGTGAATATTGATTGATCTGGAACATTGAAAATCTCAATTTTTTTCGAATGAAAACCATATTTTTTTCCATCATAATTCAATTCTATAATAAAAATGAGCCCTAGTTCGAAGTGACTTCCCTATACCCAGAACCAAAAATTTTGGAGATATTCCAAAAATAGTTTTTAATCCTGCATACTTTTTCCAGAAAAACACGAATAAGTCAAGCACGCTTCATTTTAGGTATATATATATACTTAAGTAAAAGTATGCAGGATTAAAAACTATTTATGGAATATCTCCAAAATTTTTGGTTCTGGGTATAGGGAAGTCACTTCGAACTAGGGCTCATTTTTATTATAGAATTGAATTATGATGGGAAAAAATATGGTTTTCATTTGAAAAAAAATGAGATTTTCAATGTTCCAGATCAATCAATATTCACGATTTAATCAATGCATAGCACTAAAAATTTAAATTAGGGTATGATACATAATTTTGAATCAAAATCATGACTTGAAGAGGCCATATTTTGAGGAAAATTACTGTCCGGAGCTTCAATAGTATAGAGGAATACAGAAATGTAAAAAAATTCAGGGTGTAATTTATATTGAAAAAAAAAAGATGCCCTCACTTCTGGAAAAAACGGAAGCTTGACGATAACAAAAATATCTTAGTTGGATGCTTCATGTTTCCTTCACCGTCATTACGAATGTCCAGAATTGTGCCACTTTTAGTTCTCCATATACCGGGTGACACAGACTCATGGTATACGCCCCTTTTCTAATTTTTTTCTTCTAGCTATATTTCTAGAAGTTGAAACATCGAATATGCTCACTAGAGGGCACTTTCTCACATTTTAGGATTTTTTCCACCTTTCCGTTTTCCTGGAAATGACTTCAACTTTCGATTTTCAAACGGAACACCCTGTACTTTATTTCATGATTGGTTGGAGATTATTATAACGAATTCAACGATACCGGGTTTGATTGGGTTATTTCAAACGATCACGAAGATATTTGCGTTCGAAGTTTCGATATTGCGCCGTCACAACCATTGATCATAATATGGATACTTCAAACGTAAATATCTTCGTGATCGTTTGAAATAACCCAATCGAACCCGGTATTGTATTTGTTATTATAGTCTCTAACCAATTGAAGAATAAAATATGGGGTATTCCATTCAAAAATCGAAAGTTGATGTCAATTCCAGAATAACTGGAAGATAAAGAAAGTCATAAAATGTGAGATAGTGCCCTGTATATAGTCAGCATATTCGATGTTCTAAATTTCAGTAATATACCTAGAAAAACAAAGGAGAAAGAGGGGTAGACCATGAGTATGTGTCACCTGGTAATCCCGGTATAGATATCGCCTTAACTCGTGAAGATATTCCCTGTATAATAATCATTTCAACAATGTCCAGGCTAACGCTGATTCTAAAATTTTAATCATTGTTAGATGTAGCTATAGTTTTGCTCAATATTACATGTACGTACATATTTTGATGTGAAATGAGATTAATTTTCAATAAAATCGAGTAGCCTTGTGAAACGTTTGAGCTATCTATTTGACCAGAGATTCGACACCTATCAGTCCTCTCATTGAATACCTTCATCAATCTACATGTGATTTCACTAGAGAATCAAAACTAAATGTGTATGTGGCATTTTTGAGAAGCACAATATAATTTTCTCAGGGCCGCTATTATATCAGTATAATAATCGAAAAGAACCTCACATTTAGAAATGGTCGATGGTTTACCAAACCTCACATTTTGATTATAATGTAACCTCAATGTGAGTCTAATTTAAACGTGAAATCTAGAGTCACATTCAGCTAACTTTGAGTCCCATTCGGCATCTAAATGTGAATCATAAAATGACCAAAAGGGTCCGGAATAGCAGTCATTGTGATTTCAGTAGGACTCTCAATTCGAGTCACGGATGTGATGTGTGGCATGAATGTGATGCCCTCTAATATCTCTGGGATCAATCTGTGTTAACTGGGTGGTATGTAATATAATATACACTAACCTCATCTGTATCACAAAGATCTACTATATTGTGCAACAGATAATTCATAGTCATTTGCAGTACAGGAACTGGTCGTAATTCATGTGGTAGTGGTGTCTCTTGATCTGCTGAACTTCTTGAATACTGTTTGACTGCCTTACATTGATTCATAGCCCTGCTATTATCTTCTTGCTCATATAATGATACCTAAAAATGAATATACCTCTAAAACTACCTGTTATTCAAACTATATGATCTCAAGTATATTAAAATTGGTGGGTGTGTGGAAAATATCATAATATCCAAACAAACAATACAATTAACAGTATATTTTACTAATACAGGATTATTCAAATCAAGTGACAGAGCCATTGGTAAATTTGTTACTATCAATGATTTTTTGAATTTATCAAAGTATATACACTTTATCAAAAGCATGAAGTTCAATCAGAACAAAATTAAATATAGAGGACGTTTTCATGTTAACAATAAATTGTATTTTTCGTACAAACTCGAAAGCGCGATAGCCAATTTTTTTATTCAATATTAAGGAGCGTTAGAAATGCTACTAGATTAATATTTTAAACAATGTTGTAACTCCAATTATAGCAACAATAATAACTTATTGAAATTATATTTAGATTATCTTAGGTCGTAAGTCGTAACTATCATGTAATCAAATTGTATCACTCACTATCATTTCCAATTTTTATTTAATCAATTTCATCATAATTATACAGTGTGTCTATTTAATGCAAGCTATAGAATCCAGAGAATGCTTGAAATGATAAGGGTCTCCAGTTATTTGAGCTACATATTTTTAGAATATTTTGAATTGTATAGGTGGTTACATGAAGGGTATCTTAGAATATACTATTTTCTGCGACAATAACACAAAATTGCTCATTTCATACTGTTTTCGATAAATTAATGAGATTCATTGTATGTTTTCAATTTCATTCCCTTATCTCAATGACTTCGTTGTGTTATTATTTTACAATAAATGTCATGGTCCATGAAATGTCAAATTTCAAGCAATGACAGCTCTGTCTAATAGAGCATTACCTAAAGAGGAAATCAGATTGCTACAAGCCGAAGGAATAAAAAATTGCGCTATTATCTGTTACAGCCGCAGAAAAAGTATAGTGCATAACTCGCACGGAATGATAATTTCCTACTCGTATGATTTACAGCATTCGCCTTTCATTCTCGTGGGAAATGACTATCATTCCGTTCTAGTTGAATAATGTACTCTCGTTATGGATTCTCCTTTTTCATTAGGTCTTCAACTGTGCCAAGAAATTAAAAATTCGTCGCGGCCTTGTCGAGTCATGAATTATTGAAGGATCTTGCTACTTTTGCGAGGTCTAGATAAATTAGCTACGGTTCAAGCATTTATTACGGTGTTTTACGGTGGATGGAACATCAGAAGTATCTGAAGAACCAAACGACAGATCATTTCGACAATTTGTGGGCGTGGAAAATCAAGCATGCTCTATTCGTCTGAAATATTTTCATCAATACAGTGTTGTTGCTTATAACTGAAAGTAATAGCTACTTTGTTATTTCAAATGGAAGACCCGTCTAATATGTCATTTTTGGAATCCTCATGTATTCTCCTGATAATTCTCTGTACCTACCTGTAACAGTTTCCGCGATAATAATATTTTTTTATCCTATTGACAGCAAAGTAAGGACTTTCCCGCCTAGGCAGCGAAATGATTGTTCTCAATGGGAATGAAACATTTGACATTTTTTGACAAAAAACATTTATTAAAAATTACAGGGTTTCTATGAATGATCGGAGCATCGCAGTGGCCGTTGAAATAGTGCAGCTCTCTGCATCGAAGCGACCGAATGTGTTATAGTTCGATCTCTATAAGGCGAAATATTTCAACGGTCACTACGATGCTACGATCATTTATAGAAACCCTGTATTACATAATACTTTCAACAAGAATTTAAAAAATATATTTTTAGTTGTTATAAACAATTTTGAATAAATAGGCCACATTTTCTTTCCTCAGATATCGTTCCCTTTACATTCACTATATTACCATTTTGGTCCGTCTCATTAGTTCCTACATTTGTTAAAACTTGTTCACAGATACTGGTTTTACTTGCCATTGAATCCTCAATTTCCGTTTCCGCTATAGTTGAGGATTTCCACCCACCATGTCTTTTCAACATTGTTATATCACCTCCTGAATCAACAAGTCAGGGGCAGAACTTCTGCGGAGGCAGTCTCCTGTATATTCTTCACCATTCGGCAACTTTAAATATACAGCTAATTCTTAAGGTATTTCACCAAATTAATGGATACCAACAAATTGCTTTACCGATTTTCCTTCTACATATGAAAAATATCTTGTGTCTTTTAATTCAGCAGGCGGAAGAGCTATATATTTTTTAACAACTTCTAAATGTTTCTTTATTACGAAATAGGTACCTCGAATTCTTCGTCTTCGTGTTTAATAGGGATACCAATAGATTATTATTCATATCTTCAAAATTTTCTTCTAACTTTGAATTCAATAGTTCGTCGCAGCGACATGCACGCGCAATTCCAAAAATCAATACAACCTAAAGAAATTGATTATAAGTATTTTCACTTTATCGTATAAATATCTTTTTTGAAACTTACTTTTGCTAATGAATATTCATCATCTGAAGCATCCAGTATGAAGTTTGTAATATCTTGTTTTTTGAAAACTCTGGACTTCTTTGTATGTAGCCTTCTGATGCCTATTTTAAATATGCTCGCAACTTTACATATCTTTCTGTATCTACGCAATTTTTAACATTCATATTTGCATTCCACATGCAATAAACAGACCAAAGTGTAGAACTCATTCTCCGAAAAAGTTTTCACACTTTTCTCCATGCAATAATCCATAAATCGTTTATAATTTCCTTCATATTTCATCCGAGACAGAACATCAAATTGAACTCAATATTGTTTGCCACCTCACTTATTTATGGAGGAGTGAGAACTTCTGAGTCGCTATCACTGTCCATAATATAAATATACCGATATTTTTCCACAGGACTGTTAGAAATTTCAATTTCAGTTGTCAAACTATCATCATTATAGACATATACATTTCCATAGCAGCCAACCATTCCAACAATTGCGATTTCTATCAAATTTTGTTTTAATTTATCACTACAGGACAAATAAAAAGATTGTGGGAATTGTAATAATTTGCAAATAACATATCCTACATATACAGAGTGACCCATTTGAAAGCGAGCCACCATCATGGAAATTTTATTTATGAACCGATTTTGACGAATTTTTTCTTTGAAATGTGGAAGGGGAAAGGGGTATTTTGGGGCCAAGCAGCGTCCACTTTTTTGAAAACCAAGGGCTACTAGAACACATTGCGATGCTGAAGAATCCAGAACTTATATTAGCGAATCTTTTAGACAAAATCCTCATACGCCACTGGAATCAGCATTCACTGAAATAGATCTGTGCCAAGTTTCATGAATAAAAAGTCAAAATTAATGACAAGTTGTTCATCATGCATTGAGAAGCTTTCTATTTTGTAATATTCATAATAGTAGGCTTACTAAAGTCACATATGACTTCAAATTAATGCAGTTTTCCCCCAGATCCCTCGACTCATCTGCCCTAAGGGGGTGTTAGAAATGAAAAAAGTTGAAAAATCCAGAATCTGAAATCCATCCATGTGTGTTAATTCAATGTTATGAAAAATGTCTTAATAGAAATTTCTTTTTAAGAATGTCTATTAAATGTTGTTACTAAATAAAGTCGTAAGTCATTGGTTATCGCATGGGTTACTACATGAAAATATTCCTAATGCATGATAAATAGTAATTTCATACAATAGTGTTGAATATTTTTTCATAAAAATTGTACAGATCTATTTCAGAAGACGTCGATTCCAATCGCTAATATAGATTCTGGATTTTTCAGCCTCTGAATGTGATCTAGTAGGGCTTGGTTTATAAAAAACTGGACACCGCTTAGATATAAAAGATACCTTTTACCCCTCCACATTAAAAAAATCGTTAAAATCGCTACATAAATAAAAGATTTATGAAAGTGGCCCACTTCCAAATGGGCCACTCTGTATCATTATCAACGATCGAAGAAAAAATTAAATGTTCCGACAGCAAATTAGATTGATTGCCTTAGCTGAACTCCTAGCCGCAGCAGTCAATCTACAACTGCGCTGCCAAATAAAACAAATAACTATTTTCAATTTTTTTTTGAAAAACTATTCCAGAAAACAATTTCGGTCGGCCTTTTGCTGGTCAGAATTGGCCAGAACGGCAAAATTCCTGTAAACATTGATGGGCCAGTACCAATACAAATACATACAAATTTGAAAAAAAAGATGACCGCCACGGGATTCGAACCCTGGTGCACCGCTCGAACCCCGGTGCACCGCTATCACTTAGTTTACAAGCCGAACTTATTCCAACTGAGGTACTGCACCTTTCTTGATATGATGTGTGTACGGAATTCATTGGCGGTTAACTTTCTAATAGGAATATTTCATTAATAATAAAAATTATCATCATCATAACAGATATATACAACGATGAACAAGAAAAAACATCCCTATTACTTAGTCAGACGACTTGCCTATTTTTTATGGCCGAGTTTGATGACTTTCATGATAATATTTGAATGCAAGGAATAAATAATAGTAGTATTAGTAGTAGTAGTAGTCGTATATGTATACTTACTTGGTATGTATATGTACAACATACCAACTGGCCATCGACCTTACGAGAGGACATTCAGCTCATGGGTGTTCTGTGTAGGCTTTGTTACTAACTCCATACGCCACCTCAGGAGCAGCACTGTTAATTGGAACGCAACAGCGAATCGTACGAAATCATCTCCGACCGAGGCTACAAAAATTATAATTTATATGCGTTTCATAAAAAAATATTCTCTGCTCTTCCGGGGATCCAAACCTAGTAACCTTTCGATGTTCTGATTACTAGTCGAGCGCCTCAACTACAGCGCTATTCCGCCGTCTTAGAAATTAATTTTTTTCAATTGAAACTGAAATATAATCATACTCTATATTTGGCACGGTGCCGGCTAGATTATAAGTTAAACGATTTTAATATGCCATATAATGGGTAGTATTGTATTGTATTGTATGACGTAGTTAAAAACATTATACTAATTGACACTATTGGCCCAGTACCGTCTGAATTAT